TTTTCACCCTGGGGATGATGTATGTCTCTCTCAATGTTCTTATTTCCTGGCTTCTCTGGCTGTGTGGAGTGTAGGCTGGTAATTCTTTGCTCAATGTCTAATATCCATATATGAGTGATTATATATCATGCTTGCCTTTTTTTGACTAGGTTACTTCACTCAGGTTTCTTCTAGTTCCATCCATTTGCCTGTGAATTTCAAGAGTCCATTGTCTTTTTTCCACTGAGTAGTACTCCATTGTGTAAATGTTCCACAATTTCTTTATCCATTCTTCAGTTGAGGGATATTTAGGTTGTTTCCATGTTCTGGCTTTTACAAATAATTCTGCTATAATCATAGTTGAACAGATGTCCTTGTTGTATGAATGTGCATCTTTTTGGTATATGTATAAGAGTGGAATTGTTGGATCTTGAGTTAGACATTCTCGTTTTCCTGAGGAACCACAATACTGATTTCCAAAGTGACTGTACAAGTTTGCACTCCCACCACCACTGGAGGAGTGTTCCCCTTTCTCCACAACCTCTCCAGCATAGACTGTCATTTGTGTTTTTGATTTTAGCCATTCTGGCCAGTATAAGATGGTATCTCAGAGTTGTTTTGATTTGCATTTTCCTGATGACTAAGGATGTTGAACATTTTCTTAAGTGTCTTTTAGCCATTTTAGATTCCTCTAATGATAATTCTCTACTTAATTCTGAACACCACTTTTAAATTGGATTGTTTGGTGTTTTGGTGACTAGCTTTTTTGTTCTTTGTATATTTTGGAAATCAGCCATTTGTCAATGTGGGGTTGATGTAGATCTTTTTCACTTCTGTGGGCTACCATTTTTGTCTTGCTTACTACTATGGTCTTTGACTTACAGAAGCTTCTCAGTTTCAGGAGGTCCCATTTATTAATTGTCAATCTCAGTGTCTGTGCTAGTGAACATATGTTTCCAAAGGGATCTCATGCACCAATTCATTTAAGGGTACCTCCCACTTTTCTTCGAAGAGATTCAGTGTGGCTGGATTTATGTTGAGGTCTTTGATCCATTTGGACTTAAGTTTTGTTCACGGCAATAGATATGGATATATCTGCAGTCTTCTACACACCAGCATCCAGTTATGCCAGAACCATTTGTTGAAGATGCTTTCTTTTTTCCATTGTATAATTTTAGCTTCTTTGTCAAATATCAGGTGTTCATAGGTGTGTGGGTTAATAATAGGGTTTTCAATTTGATTCCATTGTTCTACCTGTCTATTTTTGGGCCAATATCAAACTGATTTTAGTACTATAGCTCTATAATAAAGCTTGAAGTCAGTGATGGTGATGCCTCCGGAAGTTCCTTTATTGTACAGAGTTGTTTTGGCTATCCTGGGTGTTTTGTTTTTCCATATAAAGTTGGGTATTATTCCTTCGAGGTCTGTGAATAATTGTGCTAGAATTTTGTGGGGATTGCATTGAATCTGTAAATTGCTTTTGGAAAAACTGCTATTTTTACTATGTTGATCCTACCTATCCAAGAGCATGGGAGATCTTTCCACTTTCTGTTATCTTCTTTGATTTCTTTCTTTAAAGATGCAAAGTTCTTGTTATATGGGTCTTTCACTTGAAATGTAATGTTTCCCACAACACACTTTTGTTATAAGCAAATCTCTTTATGAGAGACACAACTGAAAGAGGCAGTCATACTTGCTTGCTTCTTCTGTTTTTTTTCCTTGTGATTACCATTGTTTTTTTTAAGGATTCTAATAGATGCTGAGTTATATTAAAGTTGTACTTGTTTTAACACAGCAGGAAACACTGACCCTTCAACAACTTTCATGCCCATCAGTAAGGGTTCCATTGGTAAAGATTTACAGAGGTAAGATCTAATGTCCTACAGATTTGGAGAAAATTTTAGAGGGAAAGGAAAGATAGCAGCAGGAAAGAATCTGAAAGTATGTACTATACCAGGCCTGGCTGAAAATCTACCAGGATTCTTAAGAATCCCAAACTCAGGTTACTTTGCTTCCTATGAGCTGTTCAACAGTGAGGCAGGTCCTGTTGGCTATCTATGTAAAACAGAGGATTGCCAGTATATTAGATGTTAACTGAATTAAATATTAAAGATAATAAAGTGATATAGCATATATTCTGCTTCCATGATAAGAAATTGGACTTGCAGTGGGAGAAAGATCCCATAGTACCAACCGACTTTTATAGTACCCTGTGTCACTATGCTGGACAGTAGTGTGAAATGTCAGTTAAGGACCTCATCAGCTCAGGCCAAGGTAATTACCAAATTGAGGCATATGTTTAAACTCACTCTCTGTTAGTATGACTGTTACAGTTAAGTATGTTATAAGCAAATCAAACATGTTTTAAGTAGCTTTAAGCCCAGTTCCATGAACTTAGCTGATGTTTGTAAGCTTGGTTGGAAAATCTATGACTGTCAATGTTCTAGGTTCAAAATGCAAGCTTTTGATCTTGTTCAGTTAAGTATTTCTGATTTCTCTACCAAAACACTTCCTATGCTTCCTATACATCTGTATTTGCATATTGGACATGCTTATGTGCTTAATATAGAAAATCAAATAATTCACAATGTTCCTTGGATGTTGCCAAAGATTTATGAGAGTAAAATTTCTCAGTATAGGTGCCTTCTACTGTGGCCATATGTTCCAGTGTGACAAAATCAATGAAATATATATTACATCCATCTAAGTTGCATTGAACATTTCAGAAGAAATGATCATAATTTTTAAGAAACTAAAGGAAAAAATGAAGGTCTATGACATAGCTATTTGCCTAAAGCACTAAATAGCTCTCAGTCTTTGGGAAGGAGAGATAGCTGTGGTAACTAACAACAAAATTCATATTCTACTCACAACATAACAATAAGGTAAACAGTACACATAGAATTATATTAGTGCTCATGGTAACTAAAGTACATAAATCCCTGAGGGGAACAAATAACGGGAAATAATACTTCCTTTCTTCTGACTTGTATGTAGCCTTAAGGATACTGTGCTCAACTATAAAAGAGGTAGAGAGTTAACTGGAGTCAGAGTTCCAGTGAAGTATCTCCCATAAGCCAACAGCTAAGCTGTGGTGGGACTCTGCAGAGATGCCACTGTCTTTGACTCAACCATGCTCCAGTAAGTAGCTGTTTATCAAGTGAGCTTAAGTGTTCCATTATGTTGCAAAGCTTGTTTGCATAGTTTACCTTTCTGGTCTTATACTTTTCCCATCAGGAATGGAAGATGTCAATAATACCCAACCAAGGGAAGAAAAGTTCATTGTGTCTGGGAAATACTTTCTAATCATGATTCTAGGAGCCAATGCAAAGTACATTTATGTATCTGTGTTTCTCAAAGAGGAGCAATCTTAGTCTGGAGTCAGGTAGCAGTGCTAGAAATAGTTTTCATTATCTTAGGTGACTGAAGTAAAGAATATGAATATTACTAATACCTTGTAGTAGAAACCATGATACCATGATATGTCTGCATAACCTCAGACAGTCATAAATTGGATTATATGAAGTGAAACACTAAAGTCACTGGCTCCTTGCACTCCTGCTAGACTGCTAAAAATCCTTCAGATGATACATGGAAGAGCAATATGTGCACTTATTCTAAACATAAATATCTGTTGTATATAAAATTAATTTGGGGAGATATCATGAGTTTTTTTACCCAGTAGGAATTATCTACATAGAATTATTTTCATTTTGCACATAGTTTTTCCAGTATATTAATTGCTCTAAGTGTTTGAATTTAGATATTTTTAATGTATAAGCTTTTCAAATTACCTACTTTATAATGCACATTCTAATTGTATTTATCAAAGATTTTGGGTAATGAAATTATTACAAACTGGCATCATCAAAGGTAAATGAATTCTGCATTTTGATGTCTACATCCTGGTTCATCTTCATATAAAAGTGAATTGTTGATACGCTATCATGCTGTTTTTTCTTATCTTTGAACAATAAAAACTCAACATTGGTCATAATTAAAATCCTCAAAATTTAAAGGTGATTGATTTATAAATAAGGAAAGTAGATCAATCAAGATTAGTGGCTCTTCTGGGTCCATTTGCACAAAGGTTTAATTTGTTATTTATATGTAATAACTTCTGCTTATACTCTGCACCCATGCCTTCAATCCTAGCACTGAGGAGACAGAGGTAGGAGGCTCTCTTGGAGTTTGAGGACTGCCTAGTATACAAAGCAAGTTCCAGGATAGCTACAGCTACACAAGGAAACCCTGTCTTGAAAAACCAAAAAGAACCATCCAAACAAAAACAGAACAGAAAGATTTGGTTCCACAGAAAGGCCCAAGGTACATAAGATATGTCCACATATGGCAGGATTTCCACATGTTGGCATTCAGGCTTCCCCACCAAATAATCAAAAAACTACAGAACAGCAATTACACTTGCAAGGCTTCCCTTTCATCAAGAGAGTTTGATATTGCACATTGGCTCCTTTCTACTCAGGATTGCAGTATAAACTACATTCATAGAGAAATCAAGCTTTGGGGAAAGAGTTGAGGGGGATTATTATCATGAGTGAATGAAGTCAGTATACAGAATTCTTTTTATGACAGGACTGAGCAACAGGCAGCCATGTGTTCATACCTACCTGGCAATAAGACATGGTAAAAGGTGTCATACGGTCCTTGCAAAAATGGAATGTTTCCTTGGAGTGCAGGACAAAATCTGGCAGAGAGCAACAGCTGAAAATCAACATAAGTTCAAGAATGACTTCTATTCACTCACAATTAATTAACAGAGGCTCCAAATGTTTAGACATTTTAGAATCATATCTGATAGAAGCCTAAAGATGGGAGCGTCACCAAGTTCTCAAACTATATGTTCAAGTTAATTATTGAGTTGCATTATCACAGTGGGAGATGTTTATTCACCACCACAGTTTTACAGTGCCACATCATACAAGAGAAGAAAATGACAGTGATGTTATGCCATCAGTAACCTTAAATGAATGGTTCTCAGCAGAACTTGTGTTTCTGTGTAGCAAGGACTCTCCTGATGTTGTTAGTGTCAAACCTCATCCTGTGGGAGAAGGTGGTCTCTGTGCCTCTGAATGTCAGTGAGTCTGGCCTAAATGAAGTGTCCCTCAAGGACCTGTTTGACAATGCCACTACACTGTCTGAGAACATCACTAAGCTTGCTACAGACATGCGCATGGAATTCGTAAGTACCTCACTAACTCCTGGCTTTTTCCCAAAAGGAACTTCCCAGCTGATGACTACATTGCACTGGAGTCTAATAGAAAGCATAGTACCATAAGTTCCTAATAAGCCTTTCAAATGGCCTGTGGTACTCAGAAGTGGGTAAAGGAGGATGGGGCAGTTCTATAATATCCCTGAGACTTATAAAATCATTCAATAATTTTAATTATTTTAAACTGGAGTGATTAAAAGCAGTGGCTGCTTTTCCAGAAGATGTAGGTTCAATTCATAACATCCACATGATGGCTCACAATTCTCTGTAAGTCCAGTGGGTCTGAGACACTCTCACACAGATACATACAGGCACACAAATAGAAAGAAATAATCATCTGTCTCTATTCTAAAAACACACAAGAAAGCCTTTTCTTAAATTTACAGTCATAAACCAAAACCTAAAACATCTAGCTGCTGAGGAACTCTGACTTCCTTTCCTTGTTTGCATCAGGCTGGCCTTCATGCCATGCAAATTCAGTTAACACACATCAGACATTATATAGTAGTGTATTATGGGGAGGTGAAGGAATACATAGAGCTAATCTAAACTTGTAAGTTGTCAAGAAGGGAAATAGATATACCCCCTTCTCAGGATCCCCTCAGGCTAGAAGTCCCTTTTAAAAGGTTTCCAGTGCATGAGTTTATTCAATGGGAGGACTGAGTTAGAGGTAAGAACAGGCTATGTTATCTGTGTCATGGTCCATCAAGTAGTCAAGAGACAAGGCTTCAAAAATAGGGGTACCCACAAAACGTATCTATATATTTGCAACAAAATGTATTCATGCTTTTTACTCATACTCAATATTTTATTTCATTTTTCTGTTTTGTTTTAGTTCTACAACAATTTCTCTTCAAGAACATTCAGTAAAATTGTAAGTGCCTAAACTTATTGAACTCTTCTTCTGCTCAAAGCATCCATGCTAACACTTACATGCAAAAGTGAGGAACCAATTCAAATTAAACACCTGCACAGGTGACTGGAAGCCTCAGCCACCAAAAGCAGGATAAAAATGGGGCAGCTTATGGGAATACAGTTTGCAAAGGATAAGATGACTAACCTTTCTCAAATTTGTTTATTATTTAAATATCTATACTCATGGCACAAAATGTTTGAGGAGAAAATAATTTTGATTTATATATTCAATAATATATAACCTTAATTAGTATATTCTTTTGAATTTCATCATTGCTTATTATTTTCAAAACTGGCCAAATTTTATGTATAAATTTACTATAATTAACACAATTTCATTTAGGATTTATAGTAGACTTTGAATGGAATAGGTGTATATATTCACTGGAAACAGGGAGAAGTGGATAATTTTATAATGTCTAGTTAGCTGAAAAATAAATTTGTGGTAGAAGAAAACAAGAAATTAATGAACTATGATGCATATTTACTATGAATTATACTCAAATCACACTGAAAGATAATCTTAAAATGTTCATTGTTTTTACCTTTGTCATGTTTAGGTGTTATCTTCACTTTATATAATAAAGTTTAAAATTAGTGACAGAACAATAGAATAATAACAGGAAAAGGGAATGATAAATTAGTAAATTAGGTGAAAAGTAAACTAAAGTTACTGAGTTAAATGGAATATTAGATAAAAGAGTCTCTTAATTTTATATTTCATACACTGCTTATTTATAAAAATTCTACATCTATTACATATATTAATATACTGGTCACATGTTCATTTTTATTCTTCAATGTTTAAGTCACAATTAACTCAAATTTCCTCTTTACCATTTTCAGCTAATAAGCTTGCATAAGGAAATGAAACTGGATGATGTCTTCAACAAGTGCCACACTCTTTCCATCAAAACTCCAGAAACAAAAGCTGAAGTCCGCAAGACCTCGGTGTGTCCTCAGCATTTCACCCAAACATTAGCTGAAGCAGTACCTCGCTTTGTCATGCTCTAGCTTCTTCTCAGCAATGGCAGGGGTGTGGTAATCAGAAGGGCAGGGACTACTAGGAGAAGTGAGTAGTGAAATGGAAACCATAGTATCCATTTGGTAAACTATAAAGGAAATCAATTATAAGATAATATTGTAGCAAGTCTATAAACTGACCACTTAAAAGATCTTATTTTTAACAATGTCTTGGGGCTGGGAATTGACTTATAACCCTATAGGAAACTCTGAATGAAATTGAACACCTATTTTTAAAAACAAATTCATATTTATGCCAAAAGCATGCAAACCCAGTTGTCTATTGTAAATTAATATTGTCTCCACATTGATAGGCTTGCCACTGACCACCAAGCTAATTCTTCTTGAATCCCAGGAATATTCTGGTTCTACATCTGCTTCTTACCTTTGTATTCCAATCTCCTTGATTTTATAATTCTTCTGTGTCTTAACTGAGAGTACCTGGACAATAGAGTCTTATAAAATTTATTGTTCCCCAGAGGAATGCATTTCCTTAGTTGTGATGAGAAGTTCTGTAGGTCACAACAGTTCTCACTAAATTTTTTTTATGACTCTCCTTTTTTATCCATGGCCATAACTTACCCTCCAATTGATTAACTTAAATATCACTTAAAACTAATAAAGTGAAAGGAAGGTAAGAAGGAGACATGCTGTTTCTGAAGACTTAGTCTTTTGTAGAAATGTCAGAAAGCAGTTTATTGATATGGCTTCAATTAATACCCCCAAAATGTAGCTTGGATAAGAAAATGAATACTTTGAAATGTTTTGTGGAACTTGTATCATCAACCAGCCCAGTCACAATGGAGTTTTGAGTTTCATTAAGCCGAAGCCCTCACTTTTTTTCATATGGCCACAGCAACCTGCACTGCTTTAACTTTTTCAACTGTTCCTCTCCTTCATAAACTTCTCACATTTCTACTAGTGTCCATTGAACACTGTTCTGTTCTTCATTCTCCTTATCACTGGATTAATTAAAAGACATCAACATAGCAAACATTTAAAATCAGCCATGAGGTTCAATCCTGACACATAAAGGTCAAAATTTAACTGTGGTATCTGTACATGCAAGGAGGCCCATAGTTCTTCAGGTATACTTGTCAACAGTGTTCTTTTTCTGTTAGAGACAAGGGGAGGGAGTGCTGTAGACTGTGAAAGCATATTTAATAATGACAGGTTGTCTTCAAGGCACCTTTCTATTAATATGCTAAAGTTCATAATGAGTATTTTATGAACATTCTAGTTACTGGTGTGATAAATATGAGTTAAATGGTTTTCAATTTAAACTGGTAATGTCTCTCTTACTGATGCTAGTCCAGTAGGCACTTCCTCACTTCAAGAAAGCCTTGCGGTCTCATGGATGAGCAAAGCAATCAACCGTATAACGACTTACTTGGTAGGCAGATGCTAGAATTTCAGACAGAAAACAGAATGTTTTCAATAATATAGTTCACAGAAACTTTTATTTGCATAAGCTGTTTCAGTTTTGAAAACTCAGGTTAATATTTTAACTTTTACATTGCTGCATCATTTTTATCTCAAGAAAATTATACCTTTCCAGAAGAATAACAAGTTGGTATATTAGTTTATGTTCTCTGATTAACAGTCATGTGTAACTAATTCTTCTTTATCTTGCTTATCTTAATGCGATTGTTCAATAACTTTTACATAGTTTGAAGACTTTTTGAATATAACATTCAGTATACTGCGTGCCTGGAAAGACCCTCTGAAACACCTAGTGACAGAACTCAGTGCAATGCCAAGAGTCCCTGATGTTATCCTCTCAAAGGCCAAAGCCATTGAGGCCCAACACAAAATCCTTCTAGAGAACATCATGAAGGTAGTACCCAAGGTGAGCAATCTTCTTACCCTCCAGTTTTCTATTTTATGAATGGTGTGACTTCTGTAGGGGATTATAAATTTTGAAACACTTGATGTTACAAGAACAAACATTGTATTAAGACTCTCCATGACAAGGTAGACAAAAATATAGCAATTCCTCAAAGTCATTTGGGCAGGCCCTTTTCGAAGCTGAGTGAAGTCCACCCAAGTACCTCCAAGTTCCTCTATTGTCTCTTGAACACACACAAGTCTATGCTTAAGTAGCAGAAACCTGGTGTTCCATCCATATAATTGCAAGGGGCATACTTCATCTAACATCAATTTAGTTTTCAAAAAAGATGTATATGTCTTGCTTCTAGATGACAAAAAGATTTACAGTGTACTGTGATAGAAACATGAAAACCATGCCTATAATAGAAATTTTACATTATAACATTTCCTTAAGTGTGATTCAACACTCAGAAGGGAAAGGGTAAAATGAATACAAACAGTGATAATAAGTAACTGTCATTTCTGGTCAATAGGTTAATCCTGCAATTCAAGAAAATGAAGATTCCATAGTCTGGTCAGACCTGGACTCCTTGCAGTCAGATGATGAAGAAATTCGATTGTTTGGTCTTTATGTATTCTCATACTGTCTGCGTGTTGACCTGCAAATAGTTGAATTTTATGTCTATATGTTGAGATGTCTGCATATTCATGGTAACATCTGCTACTTGGAATCTGATCCATCTTTTTGAAGCTTCTTTTAATTTTACAACCTTTGAATGTATGCTTGAGTGTAATGTGTTAATAAAAAAGAGACAAGATATGTCAGAACATAGAAAGAAAATTTGTTGCTATCTTTTACTCATTTAGTAATACATTTATCAATAGCATTGAGAGCTCTCTATCCAAACCCAATATGTACAACTAGCAAAGGGAAACATGTATAGCTTACTTTAGAATCACAGTAAATTAATGTAGATAAAGTTACTGGAATCAATGAATGAGATCACTAGCAAAAACATAATAATTCTATGAGAGACATAGAAATTTTGGAGTCCTTTATGAAAGTTGGTTATGCCTCTAAGCCAGTTTTCATAGTAAAATGCCAGAAAACAAAATTACCATGAAGTTTCACCATGACTAAGTGCTAAGTACTTTTTAAATTTATATGGTTAGGTTACAAACATGACATGGCTGTTTTTCATCATATCATTTTCATCCATGGTTCTCTGAATTTTGTCCATTCAGCAATATCTTAGGTGTGCCTAGTCTATTGTCTTCCCTATATGTCTCTGGAGTCTCATTTGGTCTAGTTTCAATATCTATTATTCAAAGTAGTTACTATATTGCCCCCATTTTCCTGTGGCTCAATTCACATGCCTGGGAAGGCTGAGATCATCCATTCCTAAAAAAGGTTGTACTCTTTCCTACTTCTCTATGTCAGTTCTTTTGATGTTGCCAGGAGTAGGTAAAGAAGTATGAAAGGGGAAATTCACACATTTGACAACTTATGCAACGAACTAAAAGACTGGATGGTGATATGGTCATTTGAAAATGTTTTTCTTTTATTGAAAATAAGATATTTTCCTCAAATAATAGATGCTGATTACATATTATCCATCTCTCTATACTCTTTCCCATCCCTTCTCTACTCCTAATCCCTTCCCACCTCCTCTCCCATCTGGATTAAGTCCCTTTCTATCCTTATTAGAAAAAAAAATTAGAAAACAAAGAGGTTTTTAGCGGATGATGATTAATATAATATAGCTAATATAATAAATAAAACAAAAACTAGCACACAAACAAAAACTATCTTTACATTGGATAAAAGAAACAAATAGCAGGAAAGGAGCCTAGCAGAAGTGATAAAAAGCAGGGGCCTTCTCATTTGCACACTCTGAAACTATATAAACTCATTAAGCTGTATGGCATAGTATATATACAAATGACCCAGTATATCCCCATGAAGGCATTGTGCATGCTGCCTCAGTCTCTTGGAGTTCATGTGTGCTTTGGTCATGTCAATAGAGCATTGTTTTCTTGGAGTTCTCTGTTCCATCTTGATCTAACACTCATCTACCTCCTCTTACTCAGAATTTTGTGAGGCCTAAGGGAAAGATTTGATGGAGTCATCCAATTTATGTCTAAGTATTCAAAGTTCTCTCACCCTCTGCTCAATGTCTGGCAACAGTTCTCTGTATTTTCTACTGCCTGCTGCAAGAGGAAGCTTCTATGAAGATGGCTGAGCAAGGCACTGATCCATAACAAGAGTAGACTATCACTTGAGGTTATTTTATTACTATGTTTCTTTGTTTAGTTTTCTCTTTTTAGAACAGTAATATTTTTTTTCTCTAGGTCCCTACGTCTCAGGTGCTTGAGCACCTAAGTTATATCAGATATAGTTTCTATTTTGTGGAGTGGGCCTTCAGTCAAATAAGTCATTGGTTGCTTACTCTCACAAACTTTGTGCCACCATTGCCTTAGCATATATTTCAACCAGGATACCATTATAGATCAAGTTTTTTTTTTCACTAGATTGTAGCTTCTGTTTCTCTTTTGGTGGTATTTGGAGTAAGTTCCTGAACCACAGCTGCTAGAAAACAGAGGGGAAGACTCTGTGTAGGCACCAGCTCTCCTTTTCCATGTTCAATGAGTTTTGTAAGTACTGTCTTCAATGATGGGGTCTTGATGTTTGTGGAGAGCAACCTATAATCTTGGCAACCGCCTACATTGTTTGGGTGTTCCCAAAGAGTTTCTCTGGTCTACAATTCAATTTGATATAAGCCTGTCCTGGGACTAGAATGTAACAAGGTTTTCATTTAATTTCCTTCTCTTACGGGGAATAGTAGTGTTTTCCCTAGATATCTAGTGAAGGGAATACTCACTCAGAGAGATACTCTAGCTAGATTCTTTATCCATTCCAGAGCTTCACCATGACTCTGCCATAGGTCCTGTCATCCTGAATACATGCTAGTGAAAAAAATGCCTCAAAGTGTGAATTTTACCAAATGACACAGGAATCCTATACATCAGAATCCCATCAACAATGGGGTGGCAACAACATAAAGTCATTGCTGGCCCCTTCCTGGGGTCTTAACAATTTTTTCTTTTCCTATTTGTGTCGTTCCAGAAAATACAAGAAAATCACACAGGTATCCAGAAGTGAGATGTCATTCTTCTCTTAAAGCTCATAAGTAAATTTACCTAGGAAGAATCTCCTTAAAATCACTTATACAGACATATCTTTTTTTCTTATTTTATATATTGATTCCAGTTCATTCTCCCTCCCACACTCCCATCTCCCATGCCCCCTGATTCCCCCTCCCATCCCATTTTCTACCCACTTTACAGGCTAAACAGTGAGATGAACTCCTGGAATTCAGTTGCAGAGAGGGAGGTGTGATTACCAAAAGGGTCAAGATCAGACTACAGAAACCTTACAGAGATAGCTGACCTGAACACAGGGGTACTCATTGACACCAGCCATTTCTTAAAAATCTGTTAATACTGACTTGATCTCAATACAAAAGTAAGAAACTAATATTTTATTTGCTCAGTTTGTACAGTTGTGATTGTTTCAGGAAAACTCCACCTAAGGAAGTTAACTATGCTCACAAAGACGTAGGCAACAGACAATCCCACTACACCAGAAGCAAAGAGTAAAGCAGGACAAATATATACACAAAACCACTGCCAACAACAAATCTAAAACAAACAAGCATTAACATTCAATGGTCCTTACTCATTCTCAACAATAATGGTCTTAACTCACCTATAAAAAGACACAGGCTCTCAGAATGGATACAAAGACAGAATCCATCCTTCTGCTGCTTACAAGAAACACATCTAAGCTTCAAAGATAGACATTACCTCAGGGTAAAGGTGTTACTAGTAGTTTTCCTGCTGGTCAGTCCCACAGCCGTGTTACGCCAAATAACACACAGACACTCTGTATTTGATATAATGCTGTTGGCCAGTTACTAATTTCTTATTAGATAGCTCTGTCTTTAAGTATTAATACATTTCTATTCATGTATTTCCACATGGTCTCATCTTACCAGAGAGTGGGTACCAGGCATCTGCTCTCTCCAATCTCTATATGCTGACTCCACTGTACTACTTCCTCTCTCCTCCTTGTCTCCTAGTCCTGCCTATCTTGCTTTCCTATTGGCCAACAGTGCTTTATTTATTAACAAATAAGGGAAACATAATTACAAAATGACATCTCCCATCATAACGGGTTGAGAAAAGATCTTCCAATCAAATGGACACAAGGAGCAAGAAGGTATAGCTATCTTAATATATGACAAGTTAGACTTAAAGCCAAATTAATCAAAAGAGATGAAGACAGTCATTTCATATTCATCGCAGGAGAAATCCATCAACACAAAGACTCAATTCTGAACATCTATGCCCCAAATACAAAGGCACCCACATTTGTAAAAGAAAAGCTATAAAAACTCAAACCTCACATAAAACCTCACACACTTATAGTGGGAGACTTCAATACATCACTCTCAACACTAGACAGGACCACCAATCAGAATCGCAACAAAGAAACAAAAGAACAGAAGTTATGTCTCAACTGGGTTTAACAGACATTTATAGAACATTCCATCCAAACACAAAAGGGTATATACCTTCTTCTCTGCTCCACCTGGAACCTTCTCTAAAATCAACCACATACTAGGTGGCATAACAAACCTCTACAGATACAAGAGAATTGCAATAGTCCCCTGTAGCTTATCAGACCACCATGCTTTAAAATTGGAATTCAACAACACAAATCGCAGAACACCTACAAACTCATGCAAACTGAACAATGTGCAATTGTACCAACCTGGGTCAAAAGAAAAAAAAAAAAAAAAAAAAAAAAAAAAACAAGAAAGAAAGAAAGAAATTAAGGACTTTCTAAAATTCAACGCGAAAGAGGACAAAACATACCCGAATTTATGGGACACCTTGAAAGCAGTGTAACGAGGGAAGTTGAATTGCACTAAGTGCCCATATGAAGATAACAGAGAATATCAGATTAGAGGATTAACAGCACAACTGAAAGCCTTAGAAGAAAAAGAAGCACACTCACCCCTGAGGAGTAGAAGCCAGGAAATAATCAATTTGAGGGCTGAAATCAACAAAACAGAAAACAGGAAAACAATACAAAAGCTCAATGCAACAAAGAGTTCATTTTTTGAGAAAATCAACAAGATAGACAAACCTTTATCCAAACTAACACAAAAGCGGAGATAGAACAAGCAAATTAACAAAATCAGAAATGAAATGGGAACAACAGAGAGAGAGGAAATCCAGACAATTTTCAGGTCATACTTTGAAAACCTGTATTCCACAAAAATTGAAAATACAAAGGAAATGGACGAATTTCTGGATAACTATCACGTACCAAAATTAAATCAAGCAATGAAATAGAAGCAGTCATTGAAAGCCTTCCAACCAAAAAAGCCCAGGGCCAGATGGCTTCACTGCAGAATTCTACCAGGAATTCAAGGAATAATTAATACCAATACTCCTCAAATTGTTCCACAAAATACAAACAGAAGGTTCATTACCAAACTCTTTTCATGAGGCCACAATAACCTTGTTACCCAATCCTCACAAAGAAAGAATATTACAGACCACTATCCCTGATGAACATTGATGAAAAATGCTCAATAATACTGGCAAACCAAATCCAAGAATACATCAGAGAAATCATCCAACATGGCCAAGTAGCCTTTATCCCTGGATTACAGGGATGGTTTAACA